TTGGATAGGATTTCGAACGAAGTTATCCGACGTCAGGTAGGCATGGCGCCGGTGGAAGATAAATTGCGGGAAGCGAGGTTGAGATGGTTTGGTCATGTGAGACGGCGGGATGCTGACGCCCCTGTACGGAGATGCGAGCGGATTACGGTTTTCGGGGGAAGTAGGGGAAGGGGTAGACCTAAGAAGAATTGGGAGGAAGTGACTAGACAGGATTTAGGACTTCTCACCCTGACTGAGGATATGGCTTTAGATAGGAACCTTTGGAGAACTAGGATTAGAGTAGCTGGTTAGGAACTCGGTGCTATAGAGGTTTTTTGTAGTGTGTTGTGTTTGATTGGAATCTTCTATTAATACTTGTAGAACTTTCTTTTCATTGTACTTGGTGTTTTATCCATGCTGTATTGTATACCCTATCATATTTTTTGTGCAGGTTGAGCCGGGGGTCTCTTGGAAACAGCCTCCCTGCTTCCAAGTAGGGGCAAGGTCTGCGTACACACACCCTCCCCAGACCCTACTGTAGTGGGATCCAACTGGGTTGTTGTTGTTGTTGTATAACCTTGACATGTTACTCCTTTGCAAAAAGTATATGATTTATGGTGTTCTATGCAGGTCAACCAACTTGGAGCTGCAGCTCAAAAATACCAGACTGCCAACCAAAATGCATCATCTACCATATCCGCTTCTGAGTTGCAAAATAACTGCAATCTGTGAGTTCCATGTAGTTACTATACAGTATTTCTTAAAATCAATCCATATCTCTCTTCCGTGTGACCTCTGAATGGAATATATTCTCAATATTGTTTGCCTAATGCCATTTGCTGCTATAGAGATAGAGAGAGAGAGAGAGAGAGAGAGATTTTATGCCTAGCTTGTTGCATGGGTGCCTGCTTCTTTCGTGCCACTATCCTTTCTCATTCCTGTTCCTTTTGTATTACATGTTTTTCAATGTTTCCTTTGTTTTGAGTCAAGGGTCTCTTGGAAACCTCTCTACTTTCCAAGTAGGGGTAAGGTCTGCATACACACACCCTCCCCACACCCCATTTTGAGTGGTTTTACTGGATTTGTTGTTGTTGTGTAGCTTCAGTATCTTGTAGTTCTAGTTATCTAATTAATGAGGCAAAAACTTTGTTTAAACACCTTCCTTTAGTGGTTTGAGGTGATAGCGTACATGGTTCCAGACAATGTTTTATTTCATTTGATAGAGTGGTAGACCGTAGACTATATTGTTTGTATTGTGAATATACGTTCTGCATAAGCTAAAAAAACCTTTTGAAAAATCAAAGGTAGGTTGTGTTAATGTCTACAAATTCCACGCCTAAATCTACGTTTGGTAATGGAATTGTATACGTATGCGCCTGCTAAGGTATCTAGTTCTTGAGTAGTACAAGGAACTTTATTTTCCGCAAGACTCAATCTGCTTATTTTGTTTTACATGTACTACTTTTTGTCAGCATATATGATTGTTTATTATTATGTATACCTTTCGGTTTCTTTCAGCTTTGTTACCTCAGCTCGTCAATTGGTGAAAGCCTTGGAAGTTCCATTGGTAAATGATTTGGGATATACCAAGAGATATGTGCGATGTCTTCAGGTATTCTCCTTATTCTTACACATGTCACATCTTACACAAGTTTATGTGAGTGAGCCTCCCTCAATCTCTTATTACATGGTGTTCTATTGCTTTCGCTTACGTTCTAACTCAAGTTTGATTCCTGATGGACACTTCTCCCTGTGCTTTTTGCTTTTTTGAGATAATCAAGATAGTAGGATATTAAGATCTCTGCCAAAGCATTCTTGTGAGATTCAAAATAGTAGGTTATTAAGATTTTTGTTGAATATAATTCACTCACAAACTTAACCCTAGTTTATTTAATTTATTAATTAGAGATTGGAACTGTACGCAACCGGTATTAGTATTCTATCGGATTTGATGATGTTTTTGGTGTCATGATGCTATTAGTATTTGTGTATCACTAAATAAACTTTGTTACTCCGTATTTTGTTTCTTCTAAAAAAGGATGGTAATCATGTCTTCATTTGGTGCTAAACAGATATCAGAAGTAGTGAATAGCATGAAAGATTTGATTGACTATAGCAGAGAGACCAACATGGGGCCTATGGGTAATCTTTGTTTACACTTCACTTTTCTACATGCATGCAAATGCAGGAAGTTGGACTGAGATTGGATTTTTTTTTGTTATTCGATGTTTATTAAGATCTATTTGTGTAGTTTGTTATTCCTCAATGAGAATACAGCTTTTCATCAAAGTGAAGCATTGGAGTGCTCATTTGACTTCATATAACACTTCCCATAATGAGCTTTCATTGACCATGCTGTGACTTTGTTACTCCTTTCCTATATTAGTGCTACATTTGGCCGAGCACTTTAAGAAGAATTGAATGAGTGTGATTTAACTTTATTTAGAAGAAAAATAATGTGAATCGCATTATGTTTTCTAAAAGGAAATGAGTGATTATCTTGAGATGGACATAAAAGGGAAGTGTTTGGGCCACCTGAATGGGGGATTCTTTTTACCAGTTATTACTCTATGAAAAACATTTCCACTTCTTATTTTAGTTTTTTTTTTCAACTTTTAGTGCACGACTGTGAATTCCTTGACACTTTTGGTCCCTCCGACCACTTATCCGTCAAATTTTCTGTTCAACTGGTCGATATTCGGTGCCTCGGTGGATAAGTGACTGAAGAGGACCGTGGCAAGAAATATATAGTCGTGAGGCCAAAGGTGGAAATTTTTCTAATTCTATTATAACGTCTGCTCCCAGATACAATCTGATTGCTATTTCTATTTCACTTTTTAATGTGATATTGTCACGGGTTTGTTTTTTTTTTTGCCAGAGAGCTTGGCTAAGTATCCGAGGAGGGCCAATGCCTCACCCATCTCTCATGCCCAATCTGAAGATTGGCAACAAGGTATGATGTGTCAGAAGTCCAACAACCATGAATCTTCATATGCTCAGATGCTACCAGCTGGTTCCAATGTGAACAGTCCTATGAACTCAACTCCCGGTACTCCCACCAACAGCAACAGCATCGTTGGACTAATCCACCAAAACTCCATAAACTCAAGATACCAAAACCACCCCCACCACCACCACCCTGTGAATATGTCTTCTTCGCCTCGCCATACCACCAACAACCTGGCATTCCAATCGCCCCTCTCTTGTAGTTCGCCACAAGTCTCGTCTCATGGAGGAGGATTGCACATCAGTTCTGCAGGTTCGCCACACGCACACATGCCCTCTGGTGGTGACATGATGGATGCAAACGAATCTCAGAGCTCCATGCATAAAATCATAAATGAGATGGTGGTGGTGCCTTCATCTTCTTCACAACTTGGGAATAACAACAACAACAACAATAACAATAATGATGTTAAGAATCCTGTCCTTAGCAATGGAAGCAGCAATTACCTTGTTGGGAGCACGGGCATCGGGCTCAGGAATATGGCGGGAAATAACGGGCGAAGTAGTGGATTGGGAAATACTAACAGCAACTCATATGGAAGAGTAGTAGTAGTGGGGGGCAACAACACTAATGGCACCATGTCAATGTCGTCGCAAGAGCAGGGTACTATTATGAATGACATGGGAAACCAGCTGCATAACGGTTTCAACAATCTCCCATTTGATTGGAAGACATCTCCTTAATGACCATGAAGTATAATTCCAAAAAAAAAAAATTGACACGGTGTTTGTGATGTCAGCAATACATCTTCTTGGAGACTGCAAGACAGGCATCGTGCGCGGCAAGTACTCTATTGGCTACGAACAAATGCACTTTTGGTTTTCAAGTGTGAGACTCCATTGTAAAGAACCGCAAGGAGGGTAGGAGGAGGAGGAGGAGGAGGAGGAGGAGTATAATATAACTTACTGGATTTTATGATACGCATAACTGGAACTTGCCTCTTGTTTTACGGGTGGATGGGCTGTCAAATAGTAAATGTAAAAATATACTCAGTGTAGTAACGCCGTTCCCCTTCTTACTCTCTGCTTCAGCAGCCTAAACTGTACAACACGTGAGTGTATATAGTCGTCAAGTCTGGACTCGTTGTTGCCAAGGCATTCTAGTTCTTTTTACTGATTTCTTCTCTTAAGTTCAATCGCAAGCAAAGGGCGTGTTTCAATTGCCTCTTTGATCAAATATTCATACTTGTTAGAGTGCATCATACATCGGAAGTTCAAGAGTAAATAATCGGGATATAAGCTCTTGAGTTGAACTAACTAATTGATTGGATTTAATCTTTTAATGTGGTTCAGCCCAAATGTCTTATTACTCAATCTAGTTGTCCGTATCTATCCTAAATTTTATCATGGTATCAGAGTAGGTTTTGGCCCACCTCGTTTGTCAAGGTGTCCATCTATACATTCATTCCTAGCGGCCTGTTAGTCTTTATGGAGTATGCACCCAACGACCTGTGGCTCGTTTAACACGATTGATCGTTTGGAAGTCCATACCTAGCGGCCCGTGATCCTTTAGGTGTTGGTGCTAAAAAAATAAAGGGGATGAGACTTCATTTGCAAGTGGTCAACCAATCCAATCCAATTCTTTTGTGTCCTTTGTTTCTCCCCGTTCTTTAACACTAGCTATGTTTGGTGCAAGGTTAATGATATGGAAAATGAGAGTTGAAGAAAAATAAATGAGAAGAAAAAAGTAATTAAGAAAAGGGAAAAGAATTTATTTCATTTTGGGGAAGAGAAATAATTGAAGGTAAACTATTTGAAATATCACGAGTCAATGGATAGTTGTACGTAGTGTATAAAGAGGTTTTTCAAAATATTTAAATTTATTTGAAAAAACAAGCTACATATAAGTTTTCTACTTACTATAAATTATTCTGAGTTAAACCACATTCATACTCTATTATAAACTTAATATTCTTGCAAATTGTGTTTATAGGCGAATATTTTAAGTACTACAGGTCCACTAAGCAGTGGTGCCGGAACCGCCGGTACCGGAATCACACTGTGTCTAGCCTTACGTGTTGGTAGTGTGATGGAAAAATGATGAAAATGTAATCATTGTAATCAGTCAATCGTCTGTGATCCGCGGCCACAGTCTCGTAATCGGCGATAGATGACAATGTGGTAATTACAATATGACAATGTGGTAAAAGTATCTCCAAGCGAAGATGTGAGCTAAAAGCCGAAGTAGCTAATCTACAATGATTTAACAATCTAAATTTTAGTATTTGTTCCAACCATAGAAGCTAAATCTGTACGTATTAACTATTTTTTATTATTTGGTTTCAATTCCTAGGTTGATCAATGGCTGAAGCATGCTCAGTCTTTTTAGATGACGCTACAGCATTATTTATAGATAGATGATGCTTAATCAAAAATAGCAAATTGTACATTTTATAGATCTTTCATTAGAGATGTATTTTATATTATAGCATTTGAATGTTGGGTTGGAGATTCTCGAAGTGTAAAAGTTTTTCAATGAGAGTGTAAACTTCTATTTTGATCTTAAAAAATTTATTATTTTTATTTTGATATTTTCATAATTTTTTATTTTGATATTTTTACATTTCATTGTTTATAAACATTTTGAATTTGAGATTTATTTTTAAACTAAAATATACGTACTATGTAATAAGATTTTTGGCACATTTGTTTACGCAAAGTAATTTTTTTAAAAATAATTATATTTAGTTGTTTAAGGGAACCAATTTTTTCCATTGACTTCCCCACTTTACCCCTCACCCTAATCTAAAAGTAGAAATCCAATCAAGTCATGAATAGTGTAAAGCAAGGGTAGAAATGTCTTTTTAAGGAAAATGTGTAGTTCTTTATGGGACACAAATTTTATGAAACGTGTAAATCTTTTTGGAACGGAGGCATGGGCGGATCTACCTTGGAGCATATGGGGGCAACTGCCCCCAGTCAAAAAAAGAAGTTTTTTTACTTTTTTTTGTTTCATGTATAGCTGCCCCCAACAAAAAACAAAGAATGCCCCCAGTGACCACTAATTAACCCATTAAATAAAGTATTTGTAACCTCTAGTGATATTAAATAATTTCGTACAACATAATTCATTTAGTATTACTCCCTTCGTCCCAATATATAGTGCAAGTTCACTATTTACAAGGTCAAACTTCATTTACTTTTTTTCTCTATTTTCATTAGCAATTTGATAAAATAAAGTACTATCGTCACTACTAATTTTATAGATGTTTTGATGTAGTATTTTGATATCTAATTTTTATTTTTTAACTCTATACCATTTGCCATATAAAATGATTTGAAAATAATTTCAGTCAAACATCGTAAATCGAAACAGGCGCTATAAATTGGAACGGAGGGAGTATAATTTTACTAATTTTAAAATATTTTGTTTTTCTTATTTTAGATTTGTTTGATATAAAATTAATTTTTTCATCATGATATAAAGTACATTTAAAAAAATCGAGGGCTCTACTCCTGAACCCCCGCTTTGCTATACTGCCCCAGTCATTCACAATCCTGGATCCGCCACTGAACGGAGGAAGTATGAAATTTTGTACCATAAAGTAGGTTGCGTCATATTTAGATACTTGTCCAAGTAGAATTAGCAAGTCATTATTATTTGTAGAGAGTAACATATGTGCACAGAAAGACAAATTATTTTGATAAAAAGTGCCAAATAGATTATCCACATGTCAAAATTTTAAATAATTGATTCTCAAAATTGTTAATTAAGGATTAAATAAATTACATCTTTTGATTGAGAGTGCTATAAAATAAATAAATTCCACATAATATATTAAAAATTGAAATAGATATTTATTTATTTTCTTATATATAATTGATACAATTTGATAATAATTAAATTTATTGAATAATGAAAAATATATCACTATATATACATACATACATACATACATACATACACACACACACACACACACACACATATGGGATTGACTCCAGTGAAATGACACCTTACGGTAAGATGACATGCTTCGGTCAGATGACGCAAAGCTCACCACACTACACTACAAAGCTCACTAATGCACAATGCAAGCTCATCTGGAAATAAAGCAAAGCTCACCACTTTGAACCCTAAAACTCACTTTTTAAAATTTTAAAAATTAAAAAATTAATTAAAAATAAAATAACAACACCGGTCAACCACCGGTCAACGGCGGCGGAGCAGCGGCGGCGGCCGGAAGGGGCTGCCGGAGTCCGGCGGCCAGTGGTGGCTGCTGGAGTCCGGTGACGGCGGCAGGCGGCGGTCAATGCTGACGGTCAACAGTCAAAGTCCAGCGAGCTCCCCTTCCTTTGATTTTATTTTTTCAAAAAAAATTAAAGTGTTGAAAAAATATGGTGAGCTTTGCTTTACAATTTGGTGAGCTTTGTAGTTGTCTTTGGTGAGCTTTGCAGTAGGCAGTGGTGAGCTTTGTGTCATCTGACCGAAGCATGTCATCTCACCGTAAGGTGTCATCTCACTGGAGTCAATATATATATATATATATATATATATATATATATATATATATATATATATATATATATATATATATATATAAGTAGGAGAAGAATTATAGTAACAATACAATAACAAAATAATGTAATAAGAAAAGTAATAAATAATAATATTATATCTTTTATTACATCTATTATTCTTAATATCCCTGCAAGCTAATTATCGGGAACAAATAGTAGCTTAGAGTACATGTAATGGAATTGAGCCGACAAAAGAAATTTTGTGAGGATAATTTCTAGAAG